TTGATTGTGATGTACTGATTTGAGAGAGCATTTACAGTTTGTTAGTTTAATTTTTTCTTCTTGCCAGTTAATCTCTGGATTGTGTTGCTTTAATCAAGAATATCTCAAGACTATATTATAGTTTTCTAAATTTGTTACTTTGAAATGCACTTTCTTGTAGTGTTGTTCTATTCTTATTCTGATGAAATATATCTCTTCTTCAACTTTATTGAGAGTTTCTTCTTTCAGTCTTGATAACTGGTAAAGATATTTCTTTATTTACTTTATGATACCAGCTTGTTTAGTGAATCTTCTATTAATAAATAGTTCAGTTGCTTCTGAGTTCACTAAGACTGTTGCATACTTTAATTCAAGTAAGATTGCTATAATTCTGAAGTGACAGATTTGTCTGTTAATAGCTAACAGTTTTACTTGTCTATTCATACTGCTTACAGACTTTTATTTATAGCAGCCTGCTTGTTTTCTAAATTAATAAGAGTTGTCTTGAGTATCTGATTGTGTATCTTGCAATTGCTTTTATTAATACACTATTACTTGTGTATTCTTTATATATACTTGTTGTCTCTACATTCTGCACAGTTTTTATATTCTTCTAAATTATATAGATATCTTGTTATTTTTTAAAATCTTTTGTCTTTGTGAAATTTGTATTGGCATTTGTATCTGAATTTATTATAGCATGAGTGATTTAATTTTTTTATGTCTTTTTGCTTTTTGTTCCAGTGCTGTGTGCATATCATTATTGCTAATAATTTGTTTTCTTCTTTGCATGTAGTCCAGTGCAATTAATTATCTTGAATCTGTAGTGTTCTTACTGTTAAGTATCTTACTTCTTCAGATATTATACTTTCTATAAGACTAAGTTTCTTCAAGACATCTTCTTTATATTTCTCAAATTCTAGTACTTCTTAACTTGGTTTTTTCTTCAGTTCTGGTGTGGTTGTCTTTTCTTTGCTTGATTAATATTCTTTATTATTGCTGCTGTCTTGTTTCTGAATTGCTTGCAGTTTTTTTAATAATTATGGATAGTATCTGCTATTCTTTTCATTTCTGTAGATAGAGCAATCATTGTTGTAGCAAAAGCTTTAATAAATTCTGATGTAATCTGAATATTCTGTAAATAAGATATTCTGTAAATCTGACATTTCTTATTCTTCTTTCTTAGTATTGTATTTGCAACACTGGCAATCTTTAATATTACAACTGTAGTCTCTGTAATATATAAAGTTTTTTATAATCTGTGTTCATTATTTGAACTCTTCTTGTTATTTCTGGTGAAGTTTGCATAAACATCTGTAGATTAGATACTAAGCATGTTTCTTGTACTTTGAATTCTGAATTTTGTTTATTTTCTGTTTGTAGTAGTACTTGCAGTCAAGTAATTGAATTCTTCAATTTTTACTTGATTTGCTTCTTGTTCTTACACATAATTCTTTGCATAACTCTCATTTTTCATCATTCAGCTTGTTTTGATATTTTGATTTGTTTTTTAGCTGCTGGGATAGCTTCAGATAAGTTTTTATAATTTGTTTTTTGAATATCTTTCTGAACTGCTGTTGAAGTTCTTCTTTAATTTACTCTTTCTGAGTTGTTACTTAGAGATATTATTGAACTTTAAAGTTTTCTTTATTTTCTTTTGAGATTGTTCTGAGTTTCTTATCTTTTTAATCTGTTTTCTTTATTCTGCATTGTCTTGCTTGATGTTCAGACTTAATATAATAAAAGCATAATTTCTCTTTCTTTCTTTATTCTTTTTCTTTCTTATTAAGTGTGCCAACTCTTGTTATATCCAGCTCTATAGATGTATGTCTGTAAGAGTCTGGTTCTATATGTTTGTTCTGGTCTTGATCTTTAGTATGGTTCAACACACTGGGTTGTATTTATAGTGCTTTTTCTTGCTTTTCTATCTTTTGTTTGTAAAGTTGGTTTCTAATTCTGACTGTCACTTTAATTATCTTGATCAGAGTGTGTGGTTGTTTCTCTAATCATGCTATTTTATTTTTGATCTTGTTAAATAGTTTTTGATAGAAAGTATTGACTAAGATTTTATTATTTTAATCAGTATTGATGCAGACTTGCTGGAATCTTATAGTATAATCTTGTGGTAATATCTTTTATTATATATAGTGTAATTGCTGAGCTGCTATATTTTATTTCTTGACTTCTCTGAAAGTGGTTTTCAATATTTAAATAAAGATGTTGTAATTATTAATAATCTTAAGCATGTCATTGTTCTGATTAACTTTGTCTTTTTTATAATAATTTCACAGATAGATGTTGAATCAATTAAATACTATTTTATAAAGATATAATGCTATCATTATTATCTTGTTCTTATTGTTATTAAGTTCTTTGTCTTTCATATTTATGTAGATGCACAGTTATCTTAAGAAAGCTTGTAATTTTTCTTGTTTGCTCTTGAAAAATTTTGATAAATTAACTTTGGCTTTTTCTTTCTTTTCTTGTTGTCTGATGAATGAAATAGCTATAATCTGAGTCTTAAGCTGCTTGTTATAATCTTTCAATTTGTGATTCTGCTCTTCAAGTCTTTTGGTAATCTGTTTGAGCTGCAAGATTCTGTTTATAAGATCTTGAGTATTAATAGCTGATGCTTTGAATGCAGATATGGTTTCTATATTTTGTTAGATCTTGATGTAGAGTGGAGATCTGTATCTTTATACTTTAATGTGATGCAGAAAGTTCTTTCTTTATATGTAATTTTTAAGATCTCAGGTGTATTTTCTTCTGAGTTAAAGATAATTAATGTGTTATATAGTGACTGAAAATCTCTCTGAATTCTTTAAAGTCTTGAAGAGTATCAAACAGCTTAAAGAGAGCAATAATAAATTGAAGATAGTAATTAATAGTTTAATAGTGCTCTGGTTGAGTGAGCAGTCTTGGTCTAATAACAAAAAGTTTTCATGTAGATATATCAGAGTCAGGGTAAGACTATTATGTCTTCTCAAGAGTAGTAGGATCAGGTACAATTGTACAGTATTACAGAACTTTAATGATATAGAAAGTAATCAAGATATGAAAGTATCTGATTTAAAGATATCTATAAGATAGTTAAAAAAGTTAATTATAATAAATAAGTTTATTGAATCTCTGGTACTAAGTATTCTTATATACATAATGCTTTTCTAGTAATACTTGTGATACTTTCTCTTAAATTACTTGTGCTGTAGTATTATAATATATGATACTCTCTTCTTTATATCTTGCCTTGCTTATATCACTTTCTGATCACATGACTTTCTATCTTAAGATTTCTCTACAACAGTTTATAACTCTGTCTTGTCAGATCTTTGTTCAATTGTTCTGTATCTTTGGCTGCTGTGCCACAAGATTCATAACATATCACTATTGCCACTACTTATTATCTGTATACTGTTTCTGCCTTATCAACTACTGTTGCTATCACTCTATTATTACTATTACTGTCTATTATTATCTCTTTGTCTTCTCTTAGCACTATCAGGATCTCCACTTATTAAATAACAGATATTAAAGCCTCTGTTTAGTTCACAAACTAGTTCTAAAGAAATAGAAGAAAAAGAAGAAAAAGAAGTAAAAGTAAAAGAAGAAAAAAAAGAAGAAGAAGAAGAAAGAGAATAATAATAATAATAATAATAATAAACTTGCTATTTAAATAATTTCTGATTATTTACTAACTTTAATTATTAATTAGTTTTAATACTTTTATTTCTTTTAATAATTAAATTAATTTCTCTAAGAGTTCTGTCTTCATTAAAAAAATAACAAAATTTAATAATAGTTTACATAAAATTTGATTAGTTTGACTCTCTTCTATAAATTTAACACAATGAAACTGGGAAATCTAATCTCATTCTAGTTTCACTATAAATCTGGCCAGAATAGAAAATAGAAGTTTATTTTCTCTGCTAGAATAAAATATAAGATATAATTTTCTATTTAAAAATAGGACCAGGAAATAATTTATAAGATAGAGATAGAAATAGAATCTCAAGCTCTTAAATAAAACAAGACATAGAACTGAGATTTCATATTTAAGATTCCAGCTGTTTCTAAATTCAAGACTAGAACTAGCTTTAATAGAAAATAAAATTTTATTCTGGTTCTAAATACCAGTCTAAGTACTAGTTTAGCTAGTAATAAATATTAAATTTAATTATTTTGTGTAAAGTAAATAAATTTTCATTACTATAAAGTATCTATAGCTATTATCTTTAAGTAATAATTATAATTTATAAGTAATTTATAAGCTTATATATGTTAGCTTCTAGAAATTAAGAGATATCTCTTTATAATTAAATTCATCCACTCTGAAACTAATAGATGTACAAAATATATAAATTAGATACTAAAAACTTACCTTAGTCTATTATTCTTAGAAATCATGTTAATTTGCACAGAATCTTTAGACAAAGAAGTAATAAAGAAGAATAATTTTTCTTTTAAATTTGTTAATAATTTGTAATGAAAAGAAAAAACTTTACTTTAAAAAACTTATAAGATTTTAAATTGTTATATAAGTATAGTTTTATTAACTTTATACTTTAAGGCTATAAATCAGCAATAAAAGCTTGTTAAAATTTCACATTTTTTTATTACTTTTTTAATTGCAGCTTTATTAATTATTTTATTGTAATTGAAGGAATCAGAAGAATTAAGAGTTGAATTTTGAAATTGCAGTTATTGGGTGCCAGGTGGTAAAAGTCATTGGGTGGTTGGAAATGTTAACTTGCTATGTTCACACACATAACATTTCCCCAACTTGTTGCACTGTACACAGGTACGTGTCTGTACTTCCTACACTTCATAGATCAAGAGGTTTTACAAAATTGATGCAGATTATCAAACTTTACAGAACTTATTGAAAGCTTGGCATAACTGCTGGACAGAGTAAGGTGTGTCAGAACCTCACAAAGACCCACCTCATATAACCCATAATTCCCATTTAACTAGTTAACTAGTCCAGAGACTTAGTTATAGCCTCACAATTTCTTGCTTGTAATCATCGTCCAACCCTTGGGGCTATGCATGAGAGATCTTGGCCATGAGTTGATGTGGAAACAAGAAGATAACTACTTTACCCCGGAATTGCATATGTCCACTTTGAGCAAAGCCAAGGCCATGACCGTTCTTCCATGTACCATTTAGTTATCCCTGCTTGGCCTGTCGCTGATGACCTCGTGTGTAGCTCACAAACCTGGCCAGGAAGCCGTATCCTCTTTGGTCTGTCGAAGTTTCTCTCAAAGGCAGACATATCCCTTGCATGTTTATTCATCCAAATTTTCTCTCACACATCAACCTTCCCAGATGCCAAAAAGGTGGGACTGAGAAATGGCACCCACCCCACCATCTGTCACGTCGTCGAACGCAAGTACTCATTCTCCGCATGGACGAGTGGTGCGAAGACGGAACCGTGTCCCATTGTCCTGCGCCCCATGCAGAAATCGAAAGTTAGACCCTCCCCCGTTTAGATGTCCAATTACAAAACTGAGCCAGGTTTAAATTATTAACTAGGCTAAAGTGCAACCGCGCGGTGCCTTGCGAGAATTGCGTAAAGAGAGGAGATGCCCTTTCCTGTACATATGCTCAACCTAATGCCAGGAGACGGAATCATGGCAGCCAACTACAGCTAGGAACACCGGATGACATGCAAAGTCGTATCGACCGCTTGGAAAGCTTGGTGCTATCATTGATGAGGAATGGGTCGCAGTCCACCGGTGCCGCACCGGTAAGGGAAGGCAGATCAGGAGACCCTGGCTTCTCCTCGCTGCACGATAGACATAGTTCCGGCCTTAGCGGAGATGATCGTGAGGCAACTGCTAGGGACGAAGAGAGTGACACTGAGCAGGTAACTAAGTCGTTTGGGATAATGAAGGTTGACGCTCAAAATCAGAAATCCTACTACGTCAGCGAGGCTCACTGGACCTCCATTCTTAACGATGTAAGTTTCGCGGATTGAAGACTATTTACATGTCAAATCTGACCCTAGCTAGATAGTAGAAGTTAAGAACTTTTGGTCGACACACAAGAAACAAATCGAAGAGCAGATGGAAAAGGTACGAGCTGCGAATAGCGAGCAAGATTTACCAAGCTCCGCCCTTATTTTTGGTGCCATGAAACCTTCGAATAAGGCTGAAATAATGTCATCATTCCCATCGAAATATACGACTGACATCCTAGTTGCTCGTTATTTCAATACCTACGATCCGTCAATACGTGCGCTCCCCTGTCCGAAATACTGCAATCGACATACTGACCTTTTCAGACCTTATACACGCGCCGACTTTCAAGAAAGAGGTGAAGGGCTAATCATCCATTGCTGCTGTGAAGGAGCTAACTCTTTCGAAGTATGCGAGGCACTGGCAAGATCCATCAAACACGAGCATTGTTTGGATAGGGATGGTCTTTGCAATGATGCGCTTAGCAGTGTTGTCCTACCACCGAGACGAAGATGAACCCCCTGAATTTCGAGAGAAATCATTGGATATTGCTAGATCATATCAATCTTCAATGGCCCAATGTCTCATTTTAGCCGACTACACAAAACCGCACCGCTACGTCCTTGAGGCTCTAGTTCTCCACCTTCAGGGTGAATATTCACAAACTAGTGATGCACAAGTCTCACTATGGGTTCTAGTCGGTATAATTGTTCGTTTAGCAATGCGGATGGGCTACCATCGGGATGCAAGTATGTTCCCAAATATCAGTGTATTTCAAGGCGAAATGCGTCGGCGGCTTTGGAGTTTTATTCGATGCGCAGATCTTTTGTTCTCTTTTCAAGTAGGCTTGCCCAGTATGGTCCGCTCTGGGGATAGCGACACCGATATTCCGCGAAGTTTACATGACGATGACTTTGATGAGAATAGCACGGCTCTACCGCCCGGAAGACCCTTCAATGAGCCAACACCAGTTTCATACCTCGTTGCAAAAACTCGCCTTGCGTTTGTTTTCGGCCGCGTGTTGGAGCACTCCCAAAAAGTGAAAGGTTCCACATACGAAGAAGTTATGGAAATAGACAAGGCTTTGCGCCAAGCGCGGGAATTAGTCCCAGAGCATCTCCACGTCCAGCCAATTTCCGAGTGTGACAAAGATCCCGCGTATTTGATCATGAGCAGATTTGGTGTACGTTGCTGTGTAGCCTTTTATGGACGTCCTCTGTACTAATTGCTATCACCTAGATTATGAGTATTTATCACAAGGCTCAATGTGTCCTCCACCGACCGTTCCTTAATCACGCACGCGAAAACCCGCGTTACATTTACTCTCGTCGTACATGTATCGACAGCTCCATGGAGCTACTGAGATTCCAACTCATGCTGCATGGCGCATCACGCCCTAATGGAAAATTGCGCCATCGGACATGGTACTCTAGCTCATTTAGCTCTCACGACTTTTTGATGGCCAGCACAATTATAGCCCTCGATTTATATCACGACTACCGATCTCATAGCTCTGAACCACTGTATAATACGGCATACAGCAAGGATGTTCAGAGGCAAGAAGAGATGCTGGCGGCCCTTCGAAGGTCCAGAGATATATGGGACGAGCTAAAAGACAAGTCCATAGATGCATGGAAAGCGGCGGTCGTCTTGGGTATGTTGCTGGAGCAGCTGAATCAAAGTTCTAAATGTTCCGAAACATCGCATTCAGAGCAAGTGCTTGATGCACAAGATGAAAAGCAAACTGCTGCAATGACACTGGGGCTCCTTAGCAGTGGCATAACCCCTTTGGGTCCAACAAGCCCCCCCCACGTCTGTGAGAATATGGGCAAAATTGATCCAAACATCCAGCAACATTTGCAACGGAACAGCATAGAGAGCATTGACCACGGCCCTCCCCACACCTCCGCAACCCCTTTCGGTATATTTGGACATATGCCAGACATGCAATCATTTAACCTAGACTGGGTATGTTGGATGTCTCCACGCATATTTCTCGACCTTTGTATATTCACCCTCCTGTTGCTGGTTTCAATGGTCCACCACACACATAGACAGACTTTGGCGTCGCTAATTTTAGATGTACAGGAGGCGTGGGACACATATATCCAATCAACAGCATTTGATGCAACTACCGAAGCTCGGACAAGCTCGGATCCACAGCAGCTTCAACAGTCGCAGTTTACGATAGGATCTCTGAGGACCGAAAATGGACCAAATCCCACGCCAAGAAGGACATATCCCAATAGTCCGGGGTTTTTCGAGTCGTTGGAAGCTGGCAGCTTCGGTGGTGGTATGGACATGACTCCTGAAGCTGATGTTCCCCGATATAATCCTGGGCAGCCATGATTTAGAAAGATATGGTTTAAGAAGAAAATATTTGATAACGGTATTAAGATGATGTGAAGCTTTTTGACCTTAATGATAATGAAGCCATGTCAGTGCTTAAAACAGGGCTGAGGTCTGTAACTACATGGTATTTGATTATCTTAGATAGAGTAACTACCTTAGAGAAATGTTATTGGCCCCCCTTATTTTGTGATCAATCTTTGATTGACTCTAAGAAGGCAACTTGGTGAGTAGGATGAAGCGCTCAAGAAATGTGTGCATCAATGGTATAGTAGTAGTCATAGGCTGAGTAGTAATAACAAGAGAGATTGCACTCTAATAAACATCTAAGCTTATAGAGGTAACTATACTAATAAGCTCTGTATGTACGGAGTACAGAGTATGGAGTAGTGTACTTTTGATACAGCCATAATTACTAGTGTAGGTAAAGACTTCTGGACACTGTAGTACTCCGTACTCCGTACCTAGTTAATGCATCATCCAGTATGGAGTACTCTATATGGGGTAATTATGGTGCTATTCTTCAATTTGTCAGTGCTCAATACAAATCATTTCTCTTGGCTTTTTTCTCTTTTTCCATACTTTCTAAATCCTCTGCCTCATATTACCTCTTCCAGAGTCACTCTTTCACTTAAAATGTGAACTTCCGTTTCATATGTGATCCGAGCTGAAAGGTGATAAGGATGCCTAGTGTGGGAGATATGCCAACCCAAGCAAGCCCAGCTCTGGGCTACTCTGTGGCACACCAAAATGTCGAGCTTGATGTCGACTTTGGGAACCAGACGTTAGAAGGCAGGACAGAAATTATCATCCATCCCCTCCATAAGGACTTAAAAGCGATACGATTGAATTTTCGTCAGGGTGAATTGAAGCGCCTGAGCATAAACGGCAAACCAGCAACTGTGAAATACGTGGACCCCTATCGATCTTTGCAACTCTATGGTGTCCATCAACACCGCAAACTGTCATCGCGTGTCGATCCATTGTTGTCAATTCCGCCAGAACCCGAGATTATTGTCATCATTCCGAAATCAATCCGAATTGAAGAGCTCGACCCGTTGTCCCTCGACGGGCAAACTCAGATTCCATTACGAGCCGGTGGTAATATTGAGGAATCAGCAGATATTCCAATTGGTTCGAAGCCACCAGATACCTTGATTGCGAGATTTACTCCAATTACTGTTGAAGTTGAGTTTTCACTTGATCGCCCTAGAGATGGAATTCAGTTTGTTGGCATGGATAGCTTTGATCGGCGTTATCCACATGCCTTTACGACGGTGTCAACCATTACTGGTGATGGATGCTGTTTATTTCCTTGCATTCAAGACCTGTCGGTACGGTGCACATGGGATTTTTGCATACGGTGCCCCCGCACTTTGCGCGATGTTCCCCGTCAAAAGGGCAACATGACTGGAAGGGAAATAACCTGTGATGATCAATCCATGGACATGGTTGTTGTTTGCTCCGGTGATATGACTGATGAGATTATTGACACGAACGACTTGACCAAAAAAGTATCCTCGTTCTCTTGCAACACGCCATTATCCGCCCAGCAAATTGGCTTCGCAATTGGTCCTTTTGAATATGTCAACCTCACACAGTTTCGTGAAAGCGATGAAGACGAGCAGCTTGGCCAGAATGCCATCCCAGTCCATGCATTTTGCCTTCCAGGTCGGGCAGATGAAGTGAGAAACACTTGTTTTCCTCTCGCAAAGGCTGTGGACTTTATCTCTTTAACCTATGGTTCTTATCCCTTTTCAAGCTACAAGTTGTGCTTTGTTGATAGTGCTCCGTGGGACACTTCTCCGTATGCTGCACTATCGATGTGTAGCAACCGACTACTCTTTCCCGATGAGATTCTTGATCCATTATACGATTCTACCCGATGCCTAGTTCATGCATTAGCCTCTCAGTGGATGGGGGTGAACATAATTCCCAAAGAACCAACAGATAATTGGGTTACCATTGGTGTGGCATATTACATAACAGATACCTTCATGAAGAAGCTGTGTGGAAATAACGAATTCAGGTTCCGGCTAAAGCAAAATTCAGATAAAATCTGTGACCTTGATGTTGCTCGTCCCTCAATCTGGCACATAGGAGCACTTCTCAAATTGGATTCGTCTGAATATGAATTTCTTTCATTAAAGGCGCCCCTGGTTCTCTACATCCTGGAGCGTCGATTATCGAAGGCAAGTGGCAAAGCAACTGTTTCGCGAATTATTTCTCGCATATTCCTAAATTGCCGAATGGGTGATATCCCTAACAGTGCTTTAACAACAATCTTTTTTCAAAAGCTTTGTGAAAGGTTTGGACATGTTAAACTAGATGCCTTTTTTCAACAGTGGGTCTATGGCGCAGGATGTCCCCGTTTTGTGGCCACACAGAGGTTTAACAAGAAGAAACTTGTTGTTGAGATGATGATTCGACAAGTTCAGTCAGAACAGTCGAGTCCTCGCGACCTTGAGAAGTCTACGTTCATGAGAGATGTAAAAGAGGAGCTCCAAAATATTTATGCCGGAAGCTTGCAACATGTCTTTACCGGATCTATGACAATCCGAATACACGAAGCGGATGGCACTCCATATGAACACATCGTGGAGATTAAAGAAGCCGTCACCAAGTTTGACATCCCCTACAATACGAAATACAAACGCCTTAAGCGCAACAAGCGGCAAAGAGAAAGAGCGGCGGCATCGTCAGGTGTTGATCCGAATTCCGAGGCTCAGGATGATGTTTTACTCTATTGTCTAGGTGATGTTCTCCAGTCTGAGGAGGAAATACTGAAATGGCGACTCGTGGAATGGACGAAAGAAGATGAGGACCGAATGGGCCAGGAGTCATATGAATGGATTCGGATGGATGCGGATTTTGAATGGATCTGCAAAATGTCCCTTACGATGCCGGGATATATGTACCTCTCTCAGCTCCAACAAGACCGTGACGTTGTGGCACAACTTGAGGCGAGTAATTCTCGGGTTGGATTTATGGCTGCTGCTAATTGCATACAGTCGATACAATACATGGCCGCTCAACGAGAACATCCTCTGATATCTACAATTTTCGCTCGCACATTAATGGATAGCAGATATTTCCACGGAATTCGAACAGCTGCGGCTCATGCGTTGGTGAAGCATGCAAAGGAGGACGTGGATTGGATCGGTCTGTTTCACCTTGAAACTGCCTTTCAAGAGCTGTTTTGCCTGCCAAATTCACCGATGACGCGGTCAAATAACTTTTCGGACCGGTCTTCCTACGCCCTTCAGATAGCGATACCAAATGCTATCGCAAAAGTGAGAAACCGGAATGGTAGATGCCCCATGCGAGTAAAGAGATTTCTTTATGAAAAATTGAAATTCAATGACAATTCGAACAATGAGGTATGGATATCATAATAATTGTGTCAATATTGCATGCTAACACAACTATTAGTTTTCTGATTGCTACTATGTGGCTGCGCTCATGCGGTCTATTGCGAATGCTTTGATCGGCGGCAAGGAAAGCATTCACACCAAATCCAAACTAGATATGACCCAGGAACTCGAGCGCCAAGCTGAGGACCAGCTTTATTTAGATTGCATAGCGGAAATTAACCGATATAAGCGAATGGACGAGTGGACAAGCTCCTTCCAGAACTTGTATACGCGAACGGCACTTGATTGTCTACGACGTTTGATGAAAGAACACAGGGTGCTTGACTTCGACGTGGCACAGTTCCTCCCGTACACTCGTATCGGTACTTTTGATTTAGTTCGCCTGGACGCGTTCCGGATACTACTTGACCTGGATAATTTCCAGCATCCTGAACTTTTGAAGTGGTTTTTATATGTAATGTCCACAGATTCATCGGCATGGATGCGTCGGGAGCTATATCGTGCCTTCGGCATAACCCTTGCAACTGTCGCGTTTGGTAGAGATGATGATCTCACCGAATCACCCCTTGATCACTCTCTCATTGTTGAGCAAGAGTCCTCCACTGATGCCCGGAGAGCCAAGCTTGCACGCAGACAAACCATTCCTGGTGCAATTCATGCTTTGAAGCAAGAGCTTTCAGAGAATGTGGCTTTAAAGGAGGGTCTGTGGGCGGCCTGCAATTCGATTTGCATTGGTGTTACTGAACTCAGCGATTTCCTTTATCTCTGTACAATTCTGTATGAACCTGCCCACCAGGTCATGGTAGTTCTGAAATATCCGAGATACTGGAAGGCGGAACATATAGGAAAGGTTGGTCATTAAAGGCTTGAAAGAATGGCAATTTTGCATAGGCTGACTTCCGACTATTTATAGGGCAAGGTCAGGTTTTCAAAATCGAATCGACCTCGAACATATTCCATCGCAAAGTCCAAAATAAATACGGGTTTTTCGACTAATCAGGTGCTCGATAAAAGAAAGCGCGATGATGGAAATGCGACTGTGACTAGCCGAAAGATAACGCTTAAAGTACCAAAACTTGCGTTTATGCCTTCGCCCTCGAACGCTGATGTGTCTTCGCCATTAAGGCCTCCAAAACTTAAACTCAAGATAAAAGCACCCTATAACCCTGACATCCCCCACACATAGTGCATCCTCTTCAATTCTTTCCTCGAGGATGCCTCATGGGCGGCGCGTGGAGCTATGCATGGATGGCTTGTTTAGTGACGGGCGAATAAAAGCCGAGCTTGCCCTGTCGTATGAAATTCAATCAACATGACATTTTGATATATCACTTTAAAGGGCCTCTGAAACCTTGTTAAAACTTTATAGCTATTATCGAATGTAGTAGCCTGTCAACCTGGAACGATCATCTTCGCGAATGAGCTTCCCGACGCGTCTGAGTTTCGTCAACGCATGGCTGCGCTTTCTTGAATGTTGTTCACCAAAACCTGCCGAATCAGTCCGGAGTATGCATTATCGATCTGCTATTCGCTCGAGAGCCTGTGATGTACAATAAGCATCCCCATCCTGAACACTTGAGAGCACGACGGGGAATATTTACCTCAAGCATAACAACCGAATTCCCACGAATTACCTATCTTATCAGCATGTCATGCCATGAACATAATTTCAATGCGATCCTTACCACCATGCCTAAGCGCACTTTCTCGCCACCAGTCTTTTCTTCAATCGCTTCATCCAACACTATATTCATAAATACCTAGCGCGAAGTCAGATCTGCAAATGTGATTAGGAGGGAAAATAGTAGACAAGAAAATCACAAACATCATAGCCACGAAGGACACCAATGACCCTGCGATTACCATTGATTTGGATGAGCAGCCGCTTTTCCATGTACTGTACAGCAGCATTAGCACAGCAATCCGGCTAAGCATAGCTTGGACCAGTAATACCTTCTTCAACTCTGGCTGTGCTTGAGGCATATTTGACAACTTAACGATGATAACTCATAGACAAATGGTCATGGGTAATCAAGAGTGCCGCTCTGTTTGAGAATGCAAATCAGGACACGTGAATTTGCAACAGGAGATACTGGGTCAGCAACTGGGCATAAATCAGAAAAAATCCCTGTGTCGGCGAAACTACCTGATTATTCAAACCACGACAGAAAAAGTCACCACCTTCATCAGGCTTTTGAACTGTTTGCCAGGTGAGTACCAAGCCACTGTTGGCGCACCCTAACCCTTTTAGGTTTGGGGGGATTACTTAGTTACTTTTGCCTTGTGTTGAGACACTAGTCTCTATGTAGTTAGCCTCAAGCTTCTTGTCTTGAATTTTCTCCAATCTGATGCAAAGTTTTTCTCTTGCTCAGCTTAGCTCTAAGTTTCCACAGAAGCAAAGCAAGACTGAATGCAGCTAAATTCATTAATTTCAATAAAATGAGGACGGAGTACGGAGGTGCGTCTCAAAAGTCTTTGCCGCGCTAGTAATTAAGCTAGTACCAGAAATACATTGAACCCCACCAAATTAGTATGGATCAACCTGTACCTTTGATCATGGATTCATTCCTCCTCTTGTACATTCTTCCAAGTATTCATATCTCCAAGATGTAAAGCTGCTAGAGTCTCTGCAGCTTCTAATCTACTAGCTAAGCAATCCCTTTCTAGATTCTGCTGTTTTGAGATCTTTCTCTTTAAACACTGACCTTTATACTTTTGAGGACTCTTATAACCACCCTCTCTATACTCATTCCCTCCCTCAAGCCATATAATCTCTTGAATATGATGTGGCATTCACTTAATCCACTGTTGAATCTTCTCTTGCAAAAGCTCATTCCAGACTTGCAGCCAAACTTCCTTTGCAGTCTTGGTTTCACATGGAGCTCCACAAGAAGTTGTATGCCTTTTCATCTACATCTAAGCAGGCTCCAGATAACATTCTTCCAGTCATCTAGAGTTCAATTCTTATAAACAATAGCAAATTTCAGCCTTTTCTCTTTTATAGACTTAGTTAGACCAGGTTTCCAAGTAGGTTTAACATTAATAAAGCCATAATGCTGCAGAATTTGCCAAACACTTGAGTGGGATATACCAGATTCAAAGGCAAGAATCTCAGTGGATTTCTCTCAGCCAGCTCTATCCTTGCAAATCAAATCCAATATCTTAGATTCTTTACTGGAATCTATCTCTTTAGGATGTTCTTACTTACTTTGCATCTTCAACAAATGAAATATCAATTCACTGGTTCTCTTGAGGCTTATAGCTGCAGTCTTTGACTTATTTTTTAATTTTATGGAGGGTTCTAGCAGGAATTCCTAGAGCAGTAGAGACTTTGTTGACTGGTATTCCCCAAGAGACTAAAGCTAGAGCTTGGATGTGAATAGCAATTGGATGAAACTGATTATTTTCAGGCATTGGAAATTATAATTAAGATGAGATTCAAGCTGGCGATTGTTTTGAAATCAGAAGGTACATGTAGGTCTGTAGTTATTTGGTTGGGGGGTATTGTACTTTTGATACAGCTATAATTACTAGCGTGAGTAAAGACTTCTGAGACACACCTCCGTATAAAGAGTGCTATGGAGATTATCTCTCAAAATTCAGATGAAAAGATCATGTGATTGCTGAGTAATAGTGTGAGAAGTGTTTCTGACAGGTATGAAGCTGGCACCATTTATTTCCACTTATATCTCAACAACCAGCAAGGCAATTCATCTGAAAGTTGGAGGGCTTCTTAGGTAGAGAAATAGCTTTCAAATGAATGTGGTGTTGTCCTGTTTGAACAAGAATTGACTGAGTTGTGAAAAGAGCGTGTCATTAATTCGCTTTGGACATGCATTTGCTACTTTGCGGTACATCTAATATGTTTGTTAGTTTTGAATGTTCAAAGCTTCAAACCTGCAAATTTTGAAAAGCAATTTCTGAAGCTACTATCAATATTAGCTTCTAACATTGATAATGTCAAACTATTCACAGTTCTATATACCAGCTGTAGCATTTCTGGCTGGTGTAATAGCTACTATTGGCTTGAGGGATATCTATTACTGCTTGTCTAGCCAGCAGAAACAACATGACACAGACTGCAACCAGAGTAAAACAGCTGGATTTTCCCTCAACCACGGGCCCCCTCCGATTTCCAATGGCATTGAAGGCTGCATTGGTAATACGCCACTTATTCGCATAAAATCTTTGTCTGAGGCAACAGGCTGTGATATATTGGCAAAAGCTGAGGTATGCCAAATGAGATGGCCCCGGTGACCCTTCCAAGGTCAGTTGTGTCTCAGACCCTTTCATAGTTCCTAAACGGTGCTGGAGGCAGTCCAAAGGACCGCGTGGCTTTAAGTATGATACAAGCGGTAAAGCGAATATCCCTATTCTGTGATTATTTACGGGCTGAAATCATATATTAATGGTTGGGAGAACAGGCCGAAAGACAAGGGCTCTTGATTCCATATTCCGGGTATGCAATTTACGAAGGTACTGTGGGATCTACTGGCATATCTCTAGCAACTTTGGCCAGAGCGAAAGGTTACTTAGCACACATGTACGTGTTCCTCTGCTTCTTGGGCGCCGCATATAAAGTATGCTCATCCCACTTGAAGTTGCATGCCTTCGGATCAATCAGCGGAGAAATCGAACTTGCTCTTGAAACTAGGGGCCGTGGTCGATAAAGTACCCCCGGCCCCAATTGTAGAAGTGGGTCACTTCGTAAACAGGGCCCGATGTCTGTCGAGATCTTATAGCTCAGCCTCCACGCCGTATTCTTTTGACTCCATATCTCGAAAGTCAGAGATCCCCAACTACGAATCGGCGGCATCCACGGCAGCAGACAAGTCCAGCCATGGTTTTTTTGCTGATCAGTTTGAAAATCCCGCAAACTGGCAGGCTCATTTTCAAACAACTGGGCCCGAAATTTTTGAGCAATGCGAGGGGAAGCTGGATGCGTTTGTGTCGGGTGCTGGAACTGGAGGTACAATTTCCGGAGTTGCGCTTTATCTGAAACCTCGACTTCCAGCCATGACTGTCGTTCTTGCAGACCCGCAAGGCAGTGGACTGTTTAATCGGATACAATTTGGGGTGATGTTTGACACTATGGAGAAAGAAGGAACGAGAAGGAGACAACAAGTCGATACAGTAGTTGAAGGGATAGGTATAAATCGGATAACTTCGAATCTCGAAGCAGGGCGGGAGTTAATCGACGATGCCATTAGAGTCACCGATGCACAAGCTATAGCTATGGCAAGATGGTTGGTGGAGAAAGATGGGATCTTTGTGGGGAGCAGCAGCGCTGTGAATTGTACGCCCATTTTCTGTATACCCCAGAGCTTGATTCTAGCAGTGAATATACTAATTCTGGAAGTAATGTAGGCTTTGCGGCAGTCAAAACAGCTATCAAACTGGGCCCTGGCCATAGAATAGCAACAATTTTGTGTGACTCCGGAACCCGGCATCTGTCCAAATTTTGGGAAAGTGCTGGTAATGTGGAAGGTGCCATGAATACCAAGCTCGAGGACGTTTTGACAGCAACTGCTGCTGAGAGTGACACTTAACCTCCCAGTAGACCCTCTTGAAATTAGCATTCAATGGAAGCGACAGCAATGTTTTTAGTATCAGTCAGCACGTTGAATTGGCCCTTGAGGAAACAAGCCTCCAAAAATTGCCGGATCACAACGCATGGTTACGATACTCTGCATTCTGTTCCAGTAACAGCTATGTGAGCAATGCATTTGCACTCCCACTTGGGTAATGAGCTGCTTGCGTCACGATGTGTCGACGAGCGGATCAGGGCTTTCAGACTTTATCATATTCGTTGCTGCGCGCGCTGAAGATTTCACCTGGGTATACCGTAATAAATGGACAGGCGACCTCAGGTTATCATCCTCGTCCATTCTCACTTCCTTGGTGATAGCCTGTTCAACAGAAGGATCCCGAAACTTGATAGTCCCAGACTGTCTTTCACCACTCCCTTGATTGCACTTGCCCTGGACCCTATCCACGGACACGTCATAGGGTTGTACGGACTCCAAAGAAAACGGGGAGACTTGTTGAACGGACGGTGGCCGCTCCTTTTGTTGGGAAACCCAGTCACGGATATCCAAAGGCCGAATATTCTTAACTTCGATGCAATGCTTAGAGTACCAGTGCTTAAGTAGCCTGGCACTACGCCACGGCATTGCAGAGAGCACTTCCGGCCATGATCTTCTTTTCACCATCCGTAGATCTAGCAAGTAGTTAATCTCCTCTGCAGTAAGAGGCCCAACTTTTGGTCGCTCTTGCAACAGAGGCCGTTTGGACTCTTCTGACTCTTGATTAAACTCGCTGTCCATTGTAATTACTTTTGAAATAGGATCAAAGGTAGTACGCGCATTGCTCCGGTGCTGCTTAGCGGAAATTTGCTGATTCTCGCACAAAAACACATTGTAGTGGAATTCAGAACCCTTCTTTTGAGGGAGCTGGGCGCCACCGTAGCCCCTGTTTGTTGAGAGACGCATGTGGGTATATTTAGATATGCATGGACGACGAGATACTGTTCTAGCTTTTGAACTATTCTCTTGTAGAGGATCGTCGGAATCCGAATCTGGTCCAGGTTGTGGCGCCAAGAGGGCGCGAGCATTTCTGTCAGCCCAGCCCGTGCGCTGTCTACCCCTTGGAAGCCTTTTCGGGGCTGCCCAGACGGACTCAATCTGTTCTGAGCGTGGTTGTTCGAGCTTTGGGAAACCAGCAGAAAAGGGTTCACCCACTACAGCGGGGGCTAACGCGGTTGGACTCCGACTTCCCGTCAAGATACAATAATCCTCATATTCTCCAGGATTTGAGTCAGCGGAGACTTTCAGAATACTCCCATCTAGCAGTTGATCTGGTCCTTGATCGGCGTTAGCCAAAGCGGGCTGAGAATGTCGACAGCGGCAACCAAGTTCTGGCAGGTGCATCTTCATCGGTTGGCGAGATTTAGTCGGTTGTAAGCTGGTAATCGTCTCGGTGAAACGGGTAACAGGTTCAGTAATATCTTTCTCACGATGTGTCTTTCCATGGGGATGAAGATTATTCGAAAAGCACCCGCCAATATCTTGCTCATTTTCCATTTGATTAAGATGTCCATTATCAACCACAATTTGTCCCGTCCGAAGATTAATTTCATCGCCAATATTACCGAAATCTCTACCATACTTCTGATATATCAATTCCAAGCGTGACTTGAGGCGTAAGTTGTTCGCTCGTCGCGCCTCATGGATATTGACGCCCCGAGAAGATGGGCTAATTGCTTTGCTCTGACCAACAGTAGGACATGTGGTCGGTGGACTCATATCTATACAGGATGATAGAAGATAGAGAAGGTTAAATGGTAGATGGGAGCTTAACAAAAAAGTCCCCAAAATAAGAAAGAGGAAAGTCGCCACTTAGTACCGAGGAAAAGGGTACGCTGTATTCATAGAGGCGTGTACGAGAAGTCTTTGCCGCGCTAGTAATTAGTTAACTAACATTTCCCACCCACCCAACTTTTACCACCCAATGACCGCAATTTCAAAATCCAACCCCTTAACCTTCCAATCATGATAAATTGGTCAATGAAGCTGCAATTGAGCAACCAATACGGAGTAACGAATTTAGAATCTCAAGAAGCTCCAAATTATAGATATACAGCTTTAAAATATAGAGTCAATAAAACTGTAAGGATTCACCTACAAACCCCTTACACTGATGAACAACATTTGCAAGGGCTGGGAGTCACTCACAAGATGTTGGGAGTGAATGTGTACTTTGTGAAATACTAAGTTATATACTCCATAGAAGAGAAGAAATAAATCCATAATCAAAGATACACGCTGATTTATACTAATTTGGCAGAATTCAATGTATTTCTGGTACAGAAGTAATTACGAGCATGGCAAAGACTAACACACTTCTGCAAAGTAGTAGTAATAAGTAAATTTACCTTTATGCATATAATGTTAGAAATTCAAGATCAAGCCTAATGGTAGGTAATTAAGCTTGAAATCTCATTCCAGTACCAATAATCAATCTAAACAAACTTGAAGAACACTTGGCTACCAGGAACTTGAGAATCATTGAAGATCTAGCCACTAACACTAGATTCAACACACCATTCTATCACTGCTTCTAATAAGATTGTCATGATATGTAACCACTGCTAAACAAATGAACCTCCTAGACTTACCAATTGTGTGCTTCAACACTTTGATTAAAAAGTGAACTCCTTCCGGAAAACTTCCACATCCATGCCATTGACTACCATGTCACTAAGGTCTCTTCGACCCATTTGATTAAAAACTCGTCTCAGAGTATCATATAGGTTTGTACTCTGATTATGCGTACTATGGGAGTCCGCGATTTCATCTTCAGAGAATGGGAAAGACTCCCCGCGGTCAACCGCTTGATGCATGGCCAATGCCCCCAGGAGGTGTTGAGCAGCCTCAGGGTAACATCCAATATTAATACAAGAGACACCAAGATTATACCTTGCGCGGACAAAATTTGGACGGATAGTAAGGGCTTTTTCATACGCCTCGATAGCCTCCTCTGATCTGCCAGAATTCGCCAGAGTTGCCCCAAGACGATTCCATAAAAGGTGCAGTTGTTCCTGTTGATTTGATGTACCCGACTCGTTGGATGCTAAAGCCGCAGAAAAGCAATCGACGGCTTTATCGTATTCTTCGGCGCCATAGAACAGAACACCAAGGCCAACCTGAACGTCGGGGTCCATATGTTCCCCCTGCGGAGAGAGCTGGGCTGCCCGAATAAAAAGATCTGTGACTTTTTCTTGAAGCAAATGTCGATCAGTGAAGCCCATTTCGGTGTCCGGGGTAATATCTTTCGGATTGATGATTTGAGGGTATTTCACGGAAAGCCATATTTCCAGCGTCCTGTACGCTGTAGAGTCGTACCCCTCATTCGTATATGAAACAGCAAGGCCCATACGAGCATCTAGATTACTAGGATCCAGTTTTAAAGCTTGTTCATATGCACGTATGGCCGGGCTCTCTTTCTCATTTTGCGCCTGGGCGGAGCCTAACATGGTCCATGCTTCGACGTGTTTAGGATCTTTCTGCACAGCAGCCTCGAATGCCAGGACAGCGAGAGAGAGGTTATCACCTTCTCTCATCATTCGAATCCCTTCTTCGAAAGGGTTTGGGATCAGCCGGTAACTGTTTTCCTCCTCGAAAAGGTAGTCACCGAGCTGCGGGTCCCTAAAGCTGTGCGTGTTGAGGCTGCCGTCAAAATTATCCCATTCACCGAATTCGCCTAGATGCATGTTCTCAAAATTGACTTCTTCATTGACCATTCGCCTGCGCTCTGCAGTCTCAGCTTGAATCCCGTTCCAAATACTTTCAAAATGACCAAATTCGTCCGTTTCAGCGGGAACTGACCTGTCCAAATCATCAAGCTCAGCTTCCATTGCCGCGGTTGCTTCTTCGTCCAGAGCTTTTTCTCCTGCAGCATCTATTTCTGCAAACTGGGCTTCCCAGTTCTTATCATCAAGTTCTACCATCCTCCCTTTACCCTTGTCCTCTTGCGCTGAGGATTGTTGGTGAATCGCCATATGCCCATATGATGAGCCCATCATAGGCATATAGTTACCTCCAACGCCTCGGTATCCCATTCCCCTTTGCGGATGATACGATGACAGCACTGCGGGAGTTGATGTGACGGGGCTTGCGGTTCTTTGCGGACTACTCTGGTGCGAAAAATGTGCAAACTCTTTGGCAGAGAATCCAATTCCTTGCATCAACTGTGATTTTGGACCCGGAAAAGCGGGGTCCATTCTTGCGTTTTTGACTGTGTCAAATTCCGCAGCCCAACCTGAGGATCCAGTCCTCGGAGGACCAGCTTGGAAATTCTCAAGTTCCAGTCGCATCTGTTCCATGGAAAACGGGTGTGTCGCAGCCGGAGGAATTTGATCTTCTTGTTGCAAAAACTCATCCATCATCTAAAATAGCAGTAGTATTGAATGTTAGTTTCCCAGCTTGCATTACAGGCAGCGAGAAGCACGAACTTGGTCTTGGCCAACCATGATACTTTGTGAGCGCATGCCTTCTTGGAGTCCGCCCAGGCTTCTACCAACAAGTCGATCTCTTTGAAGGGAAGTATCATTTTGAACATGTTTTGTAAACTGTGTCAGCGGGTTGCCGGCAGCTGAGCACCCCGCGCCACCAAGAAAGGACATTCTATCGATATGGGGATATAAGGGAGAAAATAGTGAAAAAAATAAATAACCACAATGTTCCACAAATGACAACCTGTTGTGATGATATACAAGTAAGAGTCAGTTTTGCTTTTCACATCAGTTTCCAATCAAACTTAGAAGGACCCAAATGAGAATGGGGGTGTTTTGATACCTCGGATGTTGTTGATTGCACCACATCCACAAGCTCGGTAGACATTTAAAGTTAGTGAGTTAGCTTAGTAAGCTCCTCCAGGCCTTTGCCCAGCCAAGAACAAGAGGCCAGCTTTGGCTGGTGACAACCAGAATCATTCGTTACTAGCGCGCAAAGACTTCTCGGCCAGAAATAAATTTTAGCGGGATGGATTCCTCAGGGCGCCGTATAGGAGTGGCCTGGAATCCCAATACCCCGTACTCCGTACCTCCGTAGACCTTACGAAATTTTGACCAGACTTTCAGAGGAATCCCCTTTTCCAGCAACTCTTTCTCCCAGTTCCTTTTTGCTTGTTCTACCTTCGTTATTAGACACATTCATTTGAAATGTATTAATCTTCAATGTTGGCCTGTGGCATCTATGATATTGAGTTTTAAAAAGGCTCTGTCTGCTTAACTATTAAGAAACAATGAACCCCTGGAAAAGGATGACCAGTGAGCTACTTTGCCATGATATTAACTGTGATGTCGACAGAATCAGCTTATTGTATATTAAACTGCAGGGTTTCCAGACTCTTTGTCGGACGAAATATTATCGCCCTTGAAAACATATAAATACTCCAGCATTGATAAATCGTTCATATCTCGATATATCTTGAAGCACTATGTTATTCTCCTATCCCAAAGCCTACATCTCCTCTAGCTAATGGGATTGATTGCTAGTGGAATGCTTTTGTTGAGTTGCTTCCCCTATGGCTCGCGCCAAATATGGTTACATTGATTGGGTTTATGTTCATCATTGGAAACCTGCTTGTGCTTGAAGTCTTTGTACCAGACTTGGTTGGGCCAGTGTGTTCTCCATATTCTTATCCTCATCTAATAATTCTCACACCACAATATCTGCTAAGTTGTCACTTGTTATGATAGGCACCACCGTGGGTTTACTACAGTTTTGCGCTTGGGCTTTGGATGTGAGCTGCACTTAAACCCCATTTGCAATTTAGAGCTCCATTTAATTGCTTTTAGGTACTCCACAATGGACAATGTGGACGGCAAGCAGGCAAGGAGGACCGGTACCTCTAGTGGGCTTGGTGAACTCTTTGAGTATGTGTTAGTCACTTTTTGTTTAGGAATGAGACACTAATACATAAATGTCCCAGCCATGGAATTGATTCATTAAACTGCACACTAGCTAGCCTCCTGGAGGCCGCAGCCATGGGTCAAGGGTCCTCAAAGATCGGTGCATTTACTACACTAATTCCTTGCTTGCCCATGTTCTTCTCAACGTGGGAGACATATCATACTCATACATTATATTTGGGTTATTTCAATGGTCCAACCGAAGGCTTGATTATTGCCACCCTGGTTATGATCGCGGCAGGTTATTATGGCCCCGAAATTTATTCTAGTTCCTTATCTGAATGCTTTGGCCATCGAGAAGTTTTGGCCGACTATAGTTTCTTGGATCTCTGGGTGGTCGTCCTCTTGGGGTCTTTTTTGATTGCACACCTTCCCGCATGCATCCTCAATGTTATTCGGTCTCGGAAACGCAGAAACCTCCCTATTTTGCCCGTGTTCCTGGAATGGACCCCAATCGTTGTTTCCTCAATCTCGACCATTGCCTGGCTCTATTCGCCACACTCGACCCTCCTAAGAGAAAACCATCTTGTGCTCTTCGCGGTTACCATGTCTTTTGTTTTCGGCCGTATGACGACAAAAATAATACTGGCTCATTTAACCCGTCAATCGTTCCCATTTTGGACTATGCTCATGGCTCCTTTGTTAGGAGGCGCTTTTCTGGGGAATTTACCGAGGTTTGGCTTGCCTATGGTAAACAAAGATTTTGAGGCTTGGTACTTGCGTGCCTACTTGGTCATCGCCTTCGTGACATATATGCACTGGGCTTTCTTTGTTATTCATCGAATCACGACTTTCTTGGATATCAATTGCCTGACAATCAGAAAAGATTCGCTAGCAGCATCTAAAGGGTTATACCAACAGATCAGCGAAGGGACCCGAGATATTTTGGACAGTCAATTTGACCTAGAAAGTGGCAGACTGAAGAATCACTAAGTCGACACTTATTGAGCATTATGCGCATAAAAGTGTACCTTGGTTACGGGCCTTTTCAGTACCATTATTTTGTCATGAAGTTTGGTCAATCACTTTACAAGAGTCAAGGGTCCTTGTCCATGCTCTACTCCATCCATTTATATTGGGGTAGTCCAGACATGTATGAAGTTGATACGGTAGTTTAGACTTTGTGCCTTAATCAATATATACGGAAACCTGATATTAGAACACAGTATGGTTTTAATACTCCTCAATTTTTATGAACTTAACAGGGGAATATTTGCAACTCGGTTCCCAACCTTTAGTTTGACTGTTGTGAAGGGAATCCTGATCTGGAGTAATTGCGTTAAGGATGAATGTTCGAGCATTCCCATGGCCTCAGACGGTGGTTGAAGAAGACTCCATGCAATGGAGATATGAAAACAACCTGGATGCTCTCCTACCACATGGGGAACATTTATATCCCTGCCTTGATTTCTATTTGTGGCCTGATGACAGGTTTCATACAGGGATGATTGATGAAAAATCGAAAGGGATTTATTCGAGATCTGTAGCAAGCAACGCAGAGCATCAGATGGTGAACAGCCAACACGCAAGACAAGAAACCATCGTGTCCTCTCGAAGTTGGGCTCCCAGCCCACCCCATCAATATGAACATAAAACCTGGGTGATACGTAGTCAGCAACCTCTGAACAAATCAACAATGCCATTGGTAAATGTGCACATACGCCTCGATTCCAGAACCATGAATTTCATCTCTAAGAATGTGACTGAACACTGGATGCTCTTCACTTTTCAATGCCACAGGATGTGATAAACTAACATGAAGTGGTAGCCGCACACCAAGATTGTTGCATAGTAGGCTATGGATTTCAATTTGGCCTCGGAGCTGAACTTGATATTGAGAAATTATTGTAGAAAGAACGGCTAACTCTGTGGTTGGTGGATACCCTACTCTGCGGTTAAGATCAAAAAGCTATGGAAATTGCAAAGGACCAACTAACATTCTAAGTAGATATGGGTCGGCCAGCTACCAACACTGTGTGGGGTTGTACGCTGTCTTCCCTCATGAATGTCGGGGTCATCCTCAATGCTTGCTCGGGTTGAAGCAGAATACAGATGATGCAACTCTGCAGGGAATGATGGTAAAGGTGAGGAGACAATAGAAACATTCTTGTTTGATGACCCTAGAGAATGCAAAAGGGTCCTAGTCTCAGGGTATATTGCTGACACTGTTGAGTCACTTTCGGAATCTGGATCAGAATATTCCACAAAGATCTCCATGAGAGTGTAGTAGTATTTTCCTTCAACACTAGGTCCTGGTACCTTTACACATCGTCTGCTAGAATTTTCAGGTTAACAAGCCAGCACAAGCAATACAAGCCAGTAGGTTGACTTATAGTAGGAAAGCAACTCCATGGCTGTAACAATCTGGGACCAAGCAAAAATATTGATTGATTGATTGATTGATTGATTATGTCATCCACCATCCCAGCTGCTTTGTAAGCAGCTATGCAGGTGTGACCTCATGTGATCACCAGCTCAGTCACATGCTCTGAATACAAAATAAACAAACACAATAACAAACAAACTAAACAAATACAATAACACAAGTACAGATTTTTCATCCTATTCTCATAACATTAAAAAGCAGTATACATCAACATCAAGAAATAAAATATATATAGAAAATATAGATTAATCCCTAGTGCTATTTTAACTGATACTGTGAGGACCTATGACCCTTTTGGCTAAGCTGGTAGACTGGTAGAAGGTTATTCCAGGGTAAAGCCTTAAATCTTAAGTAGAAGATTTACTAAAGAAATAAATATTTATCTGACACAGAAGCTTATTGTGTATATATAATAAGTCCTCACCCTGAACTCTCTTTCTAGAGCCTGTTTTAATATTTTTGTTATTATAACTATTTACAGAGTATGAAGGTGTGAAATAAAAGTTCCCAGAAACTTTATTATATTTCAATGTACGGAGGTGTGGAACAAAAGTTCCCGGAAACTCTATTTTGTTACATTGTATTGCAGTTACCTGCTGCCCCACCAAAATTTGGTGGGGTAGCAGGTATCTCCTATTATTCAACAAACAGCCTGGCTCTCACCTTTTTCCAAATCTCTCCAAATTCAAAACATCAAATCTGCCCACCATGCCTTCCAGAGAAATCTCTCTCCATGATAAGCTTGTTACATGAATTCAAGCTCTTGCTTTGATCTCTTATGGAATTTCTATCTTAGATATTTCTCATACTCTCCAGATTTCTCTTTCTATCCTCTATGACATTCAAAAGCAAGCAAAAGACCATGGCTTTGATCCCAAGAATAATTCTTGAATTTCTCTCTGTTATGTGGAAGATGCTTCTAGATCAGACTGGCTAAAGAAAATAAGCACTAAAGAAGCTGAAATCATTGCCTCTGTAACTAAGAGCTGCTCAGAAAGAGAGAAATCTACTGAGATTCTGACATTTAAAGCTGATATATTTCATTCAAGTGTTTTGCAAATTCTTAAGAAACATGGCTTTGTTATTGCCAAATCAACTTGAAAACCAGATCTAACTGAATCTGTAAGAAAAAAAAGACTCAGATTCTGTCTTGCCCATAAGAACTGAACCCTAGAGAACTGGAAAAATATTATCTGAACTGATAAAACTTCTGTGATTCTTGAGTATAGAAGAGAAGCAGTTTGTGTATAGAGAAGATTCTCAAAAGCTTATAATTTTATCTGTATATGCCAGCAATGAAAGAAGTTCTTAGATTTTATATTTTGAGGCTGCTTTACATACAAGAAGAAGAGATTCTGCTATATTTGAAAACCAGAGACTGCAGCAGTCAAACATCAAGCTCAAAAGAAACTGAATGTCTTGAATATTGACTGTGAGATAAAGACAAGAGAGAAATAGAAGCTTGTTAATGAAATTCACTGCCTACAAATTCATCTAAACCATGGAAGAAAGCCAACTTTCAAATTTACTGTGAAAACTGACAAGCTTGTTCAACAAGACAAGAGAGGAGTTGATTGATATAGATATCAGAAGATGTTAAGATTCTATCATCTTACTATTAAATTCTCTAGCTAATCTGATACTTCTTTTATTCTAGAAGGTTCTTCTTGCCAAATTATTCTCTTTTATCAAGGAATGTCTTAAATCCCAACCCAATACTGTTATTCTAGAAGATGGAGCTCCAGCACATACTTATTTTTATCAACAAGAGCTCTATAATATATACAAGATTAACTGCTTACTTTGGTCTGGCAATTCACCAGATTTGAATATGATTGAGCCTGCCTGAATGTGGCTCAAGCAACATATAACTGCTAAAAATATTCCATGAGAATCTAAGACTGCTGAACATAAATAAAAGAAAGCCTGAAAAGAGCTGCCACAAGCAAAGATTTAACAGTAGATTAAGCAGATTCCACATCATATTCAAGAGATTATATGCTTGAAAGAGGGTAATGAGTATAGAGAGAGTGATTATAAGATGTCTCACATATGAAAGAGTCAATGGCTTAAGGAAAAGCTCTCTCAATGGCAGAATCTTGAGATGAATTCTTGGGCAGCTGGTTTAGAGACTTTGGAAGCTGCTGAAGCTCTAGCTGCTCTATATAATTTGGGTAGAGAGAATTCTTGAGAGAATTTGGAACAGGATTCAGATGAGAGTAACTAGTCAATTTCAGGGGTACTTTAAGTTTCCTAGCAAATTTGGTGGGGTAGTAGGTATTTGTAAAACAGTATTGTCTGTATAAGCTTTCCAGAAACTTTTGTTCCACACCTCTGTATTGCAGTTACAAATTTGATGGAGCAGCAAGTATCTTCTATTATTGTTACAAACATAGGCCTAGACCAACCAAGTATCAGACAATATCAGATGCTATTTAGCAGTACATATATGACCCCAACTCTGAACATATAAGAATCACATAATTTATACAGATCATGAGAATCTCAGTATTTAGTTTTCTAGTTAGAGAACTTTTATATTCTATACACAACTCTCTCTCATTAATTGCAGATATCAGATCTACTTAGCTCTTTTATACTTCAAATTCTGGAAAAGTTTATATAATTTACAGCTGGTTCTTCTAACATTCTGAACACTTCAACATATAATTATCTAAGTTAGTATGATGCCACTAAGACCTACAAGATAAACTATAATAACACTTCATATTGCAAACTCAATAAAGATAGATATTAATATAAAGGAAATAAATATTAATAAAGATACTATACCAGTAAAGTCATCATATTAGAAAAACTAGTTATAGATTATGTAGATTTTTCCAGAAAGAGGTATAAAAGAGTTAAGTAGATTCAATACCTATAACTAATAGAAGAAAGTTGTATGTAGAATGTAGAAATTCTCTAACTAAAAGACTGAATGCTGAGATTTCTATAATCTGTGTAAATTGTGTGTTTCTTATATATTCACAGTTGGGGTCATGTGAGTACCTCTGAACATCTAATATTATTCAATACTTGGTTGGTCTAGATCTATATTTGTAACACTATTTCCCTCTTCAGAAATCTCAAACTCTAAAGTATAGAGCTATTAAAGTAGTTTTTTGTATATTATTATAGCTTCTCTATTATTGATGAAGTATTATAGATTCTTGAATATGCAAGCTTCTGTATTACTACTGCTTATTTATATGGATATTTTATATACATGTTGCTACTGGTTGCAGTAGATATTCTTTATTATAGAACAATAATTATTTTATTACAAAAGTTCAGCATTTTATTATATACTTATTTCTTTATTTGTTTGTCTGTCTGATTGCTATATAGATTATTGTCTGTTATTATATTATTTATCAACAAATTATAGAACTAGTAATTTTAGTGTATTACAGTATAAGTATAAATAGAGAGTTCTTTGCTCTCTTTCTTCTTCTCTTTCTTCTACTTTATCTGAATGTGAATGTTGTTCTTTCTTTTAATCTTTAATCTGTCACAATATTATCATCAAAAGATTCTGTTATCT